GTGCCTCTGAAGTCATGCTGGAGCGACAGCGGTCGTTGAAGAAGTCCAAGAAAGAGAATGACTTTGCCCAGCCTGGCCAGGACACAGTGCCTGAAAGCCCATCCAAGCTGAGTTCTAAGAGGCCCAAGGGGATCTTGAAGAAGAGAAGCAACAGCGAGCACCGGTCCCATAGCACTGGCTTTATCGAGGGCGTCGTCAGTCCCGCTTTACCTTCTGCTTTTAAGATGGAGCAGGACTTGTGCCGGACAGGTGTGCCCCTCACCAGCTCCCCTGAGGCTGAAGTGCCCGGTAAACTGAGCCCCAAGCAGTCAGCCACCATGCCCAAGAAAGGGATCTTGAAAAAGACCCAGCAGAGAGAATCGGGTTACTACTCCTCTCCGGAGCGGAGTGAGTCTTCAGAGCTGTTAGACAGTAATGATGGCATGGGCAGCAGCATCCCCTCTCCCAGTCCCCCAGACCCTGCCAGGATGGGTGCCCACAGCCTCTCCTGCCGGAGGAAGGGCATCTTGAAACACAGTAGCAAATACTCAGCAAGCACCATGGACCCGGTGCTCAACAGCCCCGAAATGCCCACACTGGAATCCTTGGCGGAGCCTGTCGTCCCTGCCGAGGGCCTCTCGCGGAGCTACAGCCGGCCTTCCAGCATCATCAGTGACGACAGTGTCCTGTCCAGCGACTCTTTCGACCTGCTGGATTTGCAGGAGAATCGTCCCGTCCGCCAGCGCATCCGCAGCTGCGTCTCTGCCGAAAACTTCCTCCAGATCCAGGACTTTGAGGGGCTCCAGAACCGGCCCCGGCCCCAGTACCTGAAGCGGTACCGGAACCGGCTGGGAGACAGCAGCTTCTCCCTTCTCACTGACATGGATGACGTGACTCAGGTCTACAAGAAAGCGCTGGAGATCTGCAACAAGCTCAACTAGCTCACTGGGCACAGGGGTTGGGTGAAGGGTGGGGACAGGGAGGAGGGAGAGCAATGACTTGTGCTTTCGGGCTGGGTCCCTCATTGCTGGTCGTGGCAGTATGTTGAGAAAGCATTGATGCCATCTTGATTAATCAAGCTTGTGGCCTTGAGCCAGTGCCTAAAAGGGAGACATGGGCTTGCTTCCAGTTCCACCATGTTCTTCTGTTGGTCGAAGCAGCCAAGGCGATAAGCTCCATCTCTTGATGGGAGAGTCAGAATTTGGTCCTCATTAACGTTTTGTTTATGGCACCTCTTACAGAACCAGCTGTCCAGGGGAGCTGTGCTGGCCAGCACCTAGTGGGTTGGGAGGAGGCATATGGGAGAGAAAGCCTTTCCCTAGAAGACACCCAAATCCTTCAGGAGGAAGAGCAAGAGAGACTGGAGCCACCTGCTTTGGGTGAGCCCCAAAATCTTGCTCTTTCTCACTTCACGTTAGTAAGCTTGTTCTGACTGCTTGGGGCTGGCAGTTCGAATTCAATAATCTGAGCTTGAATCGATGAGTCGTTCGTAATGGCTGCCTACTGTGCTGGTTTGAGTAGTGTTCTAATGCTGTGCCCAGGCACATAGGAAAAGAGTGCTGTGATTGAATAGTAAGTAATGTCTGCCTTGGCAGTGGGAATGGAGGCATCCCCATCCTTGGCCTGGCAAAGCCCTGGGAGTTAAGGGATATTTTATACCACTGGGTGTGGTATTTGTTAATTTGTGGCTCTACCCTGGATACAAGACAGGGCCTTGGTCAGAGAGAGAATGATTTGTACTCTGCTGAGGACAGAGTCAGCCCTTGGAGATTTTTCAGCTTCTTGCTGTCTGCTCTTTCTCCTTGAGGGGGAGGGGATAGGAAAAGAGAAGGTGGCTTCAGAGGTCAAAACTATGGTGTACGATTGAGTACAGGGACTCTGTGTGGCCTTGGCACAGATGATTGGAAGTTGATCCACACCTGCAAGGGGCCACCTGCTTTCTTTAATGTCTCAGTATTAACTGGAATACTGCCTCTTAGGCTGTCACCTGCATGAATTCCTTCAATGGGATATAATTCTCACTGTCTGTAGTTTCCAAAGGATTAAATGCTGCAACCCTTTGCCATGCTAACTAATAGAAGATGGTTTCCCTGTCCACCAAGTGTAGACTCCTCAGCGATAGATGAGTTTGCTTCTAAGAAGTTAGGTGGGGTTTATGTTTGAAAGAAGAAAGGAAAATCAGACAGGTGTTTTTTCCCAAATCTAAATGTGCTGTATCAGGGTTTCAAACTCGGGCATGAACTTCTGGGCTTTGAAGAAGAAGAAAGTTCTATCCATTTAAGTATAAATATATTTCTGCCAAACGGGCAGAACAGTTTGAGAGGGGGCAATTCCTTAGAAGTCTTCTAAATGCTTCAGAAGGAGAGAAAAAAGAGATGTCCCTTTAAGGTGGACTCTTACCTTAAAAAATAACAAAATAAGGTATTTTACTCTTTAACACTTAGATTACAGGTGACAAGGCTTAACTCCTACAACGGGACATCTTTAGGATATTGGATTTGGAATTAACAGTTGTTTGGGAATGCTTTCTCATTCTACTGGCCTGGGAAAATTAAAACCTTTATTTCAAGATGGCTGACCTCTGATGGCCACGTGGATATATAAGGGGGACTAGTTTTGAGGATATCTTTGGTGAAACCAAGCAACAGCCTAGGGAAATGAAAACTCATTCACCTTACAGCACTAACAATATTAATTAGAAAGAGTCTGCCCTTTCACTAAGGGGATGCTTCCATTTCTCCCCTTCCCACAATCTCTGGTGTTTAGACTTACGCATTTTGTCCAGGTTTAGCCAAGCATGGATTATGGGAAGTTGCTCAGTTTCCCCTCATTCAATTCCACCTTCTTCCTGAACTCCAATAGAGGAAAGAAGGGAAAAATCTGTAGATAGCATTTTGGGTGCATGGAGGGCATCCCGTAATCTCCAAGCTCCACCTCCTTGCCTCCTTTATGCAGCCTCCTCGGAAAGCCCAGTCTCCGCTGCCGCACTGCTGGCCCCTCACACGTGTCTGCTGGCCTGGTGGCTAGCTGTCAGGATGACTTACAAAGAACACCTACCTACTTGTCCATGTGGTTTTTCCCTTTTGCCAAGTGATTGCATTCGTTTAGTATCTCCCATCCTTCTAATCTTTGGGTAAAAATAACACTATTTAAAAAACCACCCTACCCGCTTCACCTTCTCCCAAAACCCAAGTATGTTCTCTTTTGTCAATTAACTCAGATTGTGGTAAAGAAAGGCCTCAACCCAGAGGCGAAGACTGTGCGTTGAGTTCTGGTCTGCTGCTAATTAGCTGGTGGCCGTAGGCAACTGCAGTGTCTTTGTGGCAAAATTTTACCTTCAGTAAGGCCTGGGAGGGACGCCTTAGCCAGTCTCTCAGGCCTGCTCAGTGTGAACCGTTGCTAACATCCTCTGGTTCTACATAGAATGTTGACTCTGGCCTCTCAAGGAAAAACTTGGAATACAGGGGAAATCCTTTTGAAGCTGTGCCTCGGCTTCCTGACTTTGCCCTGCCACCCTTATTAGCCAGTCCCCAGCCAAGGAAGTCAGCCTTATGTTACTTCCATGGAATTAAAAGTGAGACAGACCCTTTTCTGACCCAGTGGGCAAAGCAAGAGATGCAGTGCCAGCTCTCCTGCCCCCTCAGTGGGCCTTTCAGTGTCTTAGTTTACACATCTGCCAAAGGGGTAGAATCAGCCTTCTTTTTACAGGTAAATTTCAAGGCACGATCAGGTTTCAGAAAGTGCTTCAGGACCCCAGGTGAAATGAAAGTGCTAAGTGCGGTCTGAATGCCCATCCCTGTTACCAGGTGCTGCTTGTTGATGGGAGCACGTGTCAGGGTGGAATTCAGGCGTGTTTTGCCCTGGCCTGCTGTCTTGAGTACAAATGTGAATGATCAACCGACTGCTTGTTACCAAACTGGAAATGTTCTGTAGGGACTTACTGGCATGCTAGCATTCCTAGAAGAAGAAAAGAGAGAGAGAAACTTGACTGCACATTTTTTTTTTTAAAATCCATGTTGTGACTTTTATTTAATTTCTTTTTTTTTTTTTTTTTTTTTGGTAATAAAAAGTTGACTTTTTTATTTGAATTTGTCTTTTTTTTTTTTTTTAATTTATTGGTCTGAAAGGCATTTCAAAGGTATTATAATAATATATTGGTATAATTTAATTGGTGCAACATGCTTTATGGCTCCAGTCAAAATTGGTTTTCACTCATTTGATTGGTTTGAGCCCAGAATAGCCTACAGGGGGGAAAAAAAAAAAGCTGGATAAACCACCCAAAGTGTTTGTATTTTCATTGGAAACTGATTTTTTTTTTTTAATTTCTTTTCTTTTTTTGTGTTTGTTTGTTTTGTTTTTGTTTTTATTTTTAAATTAAATAAATTGCAATGAACAAAAGTGAACTGCTGGAACCTTGCTTCTTTATTCAGTGTTTTTCGCTTAGTCAAATGACAGAATGGTTATGTGTAACAGAAACCCACCCAAACTTTGGCACCAAAGGGGGAAATTATTTGACATTCTCAGAAGAGGAAATGCACCTGGGGCCAGAAATGGAAAGAACTGCGTGTTTTTTAATTCTGCTCCACTTTGCACACGGAGTCATTCTTCTCCCTCTGTTTGCAGCCTTTCTTCTTCCCGACTGTGCGGCCCACCACCTTGTCTTACCCCATGGCTTCCAGTTTTCTCCCCTAAATGGCTAATTTTTTAGAAGTGGATTACCAGGCCTCTCTTCTGAGGTGCCTCTGGGTAGAATTGAACCTCCAGCCTTCTGATTAGCAGCCAAGTGCATTAACCATTTGCACTGCTCAGGAACTCCCCTATTGACATTCCAAGTGGCCATTTTCTCAGTTCTGGTTTCCAAAGGGGGCTGTCAACCAGGTACCTTCCTCTGAGCTAGAAACATCATCAAAGATGAACACTCAGCCATGCTCTCTCCTAGGCACTCCCCTCTCTCCCATGAGAAGAAAGATTCTTAATCTGATTGGTTGGCATCCAAGATCAACTGGCCATATTGACTAGTGGGCAAAGCCACTGCTCTGCCTATAATAACACCTTGAGTCTCATTTTGCTCTTGTTCTTTGTGTGAATGGAGCCTCTAGGAAGCGCTTGGAAGGAGCAATGAATTATAGGGTAAGATTGAGGAATTCCTAGATTAGAGACAGAATATCAAATAACATCAAAACCCCACCCTAGTAGCAAGCATTAGAGAATCCTGCTGTGTACCAGGTAAGAGTATTAGGGGATCCATGCAAAGAAAAGTGACTTTCCAAAGAAATTACAAGTTTCACCCCTTTTCTGGTCCAATGAAAGAATATCTGATGTAATATTGTCAGATTTAGCAAATGAAAATACAGGATGCCCAGTTAAATTTGAATTTCAGATAAACAGTGGATATTTTATTTTTGTGCCATATTTGGGTCATACTTCACTAAAAATAAATTCATCTTTTACTTTATAATTCCAGTTCAACTGGGCGTCCTGTGTTTTATCTGACAATCCAAATCTGATGAGGTTTCAATTGACTAAATTGACAAGGTGCCAGTTAGGGTAGGTGTTTAGGGGATGGGTTGTTGCCTGCAAAATTAGGACGTGTCAATGCCTCCCAGGTTGGATTGAAGCGGAAGAATTTCAGTTGCAATCTGTTGTTGTTGTTGTTATGTGCCGTTGAGTCAGACCTGACTCATAGCAACCCCTCCTTGGGTTTCCGAGGCAGTATCACTACGGAAGTAGATT